TTAATACAAAATGTCATGCACGTTTTAATACAAAATGTCATGCACGTTTTAATACAAAATGTCATGCACGTTTTAATACAAAATGTCATGCACGTTTCATTACAAAATGTCATGCATGTTTTAATACAAAATGTCATGCAGGTTTTAATACAAAATGTTATGCGCGTTTTTGTACAAAATGTCATAAAAGTTTTAATACAAAATGTCATGCACGTTTTGGTATAAAATGTCATGCACGTTTTAATACAAAATGTCATGCAGGTTTTAATACAAGATGTCATGCACGTTTAAATACAAAATGTTATGCACGTTTTAATACAAAATGTCATGCACGTTTTAATACAAAATGTCATGCACATTTAAATACAAAATGTTATGCACGTTTTAATACAAAATATCATGCATGTTTTTGTACAAAATGTCATGCACGTTTTATTACAAAATGTCATGCACGTTTTAATAGAAAATGTCATGCACGTTTTAATACAAAATGTCATGCAAGTTTTAATACAAAATGTCATGCACGTTTTAATACAAAATGTCATGCACGTTTTAATACAAAATTTCATGCACGTTTTAATACAAAATGTCATGTAGGTTATAATACAAATGTCATGCACGTTTTAATACAAAATGTCATGCACTTTTTAATACAAAATGTCATGCACGTTTTAATACAAAATGTCATGCACGTTTTAATACAAAATTTCATGCACGTTTTAATACAAAATGTCATGCACATTTCAATACAAAATGTCATGCACGTTTCGATACAAAATCTTATGCACGTTTTAATACAAAATGTTATGCACGTTTTAATACAAATTGTCATGCACATTTTAATACAAAATGCTATGCGCGTTTTTGTACAAAATGTCATAAAAGTTTTAATACAAAATATCATGCACGTTTTGGTATAAAATGTCATGCACGTTTTAATACAAAATGCCATGCACGTTTTAATACAATATGTCATGCACGTTTAAATACAAAATGTTATGCACGTTTTAATACAAAATGTCATGCACGTTTTAATACAAAATGTCATGCACGTTTAAATACAAAATGTTATGCACGTTTTAATACAAAATGTCATGCATGTTTTTGTACAAAATGTCATGCCCGTTTTAATACAAAATGTCACGCACGTTTTAATACAAAATGTCATGACGTTTTAATACAAAATGTCATGCATGTTTTAATACGAAATGTCAAGCAAGTTTTAATACAAAATGTCATGCACGTTTTAATACAAAATGTTATGCAGGTTTTAATACAAAATATCATGCAGGTATTAATACAAAATGTCATGCTTGTTTTAAAACAAAATGACATGCACGTTTTAATAAAAAATGTCATGCACGTTTTAATACAAAACTTCATGCTCGTTTTAATACAAAATGTCATGTAGGTTTTAATACAAATGTCAAGCACGTTTTAATACAAAATGTCATGCACGTTTTAATACAAAATGTCATGCAGGTTTTATTACAAAATGTCATGCACGTTTTAATACAAAATGTCACGCAGGTTTTAATACAAAATGTCATGTAGGTTTTAATAAAAAATGTCGTGCAGGTTTTAATACAAAATGTCATCCACGTTTTAATATAAAATGTAATGATGGTTTTAATACAAAATGTCATGCACGTTTTAATACAAAATATCATGCACGTTTTAATACAAAATGTCATGCACGTTTTAATACAAAATGTCATGCACGTTTTAATACAAAATGTCATGCACGCTTTAATACAAAATGTCATGCACGTTTTAATAAAAAATGTCCTGCACGTTTTAATACAAAATGTCATGCACGTTTTAATAAAAAATTCATTCGCAAGTTATAAATTTGCGGTTAATGGAGTAATATGTTCTAGAAGGTCCTATTTCACCCTACATATGGACCATCTCTGGCCTAGCTGTCATAGTTATCGCATGCACTAATTTTAGCCCGGGCAAGGTCAAGGCCTCAATAGAACAAGGCAGTTTTTACCAGGCATGTTAATAGTTATAAAGTCCAAAATCTGAACGAACTCTGGCATCTTAGCATGTGAACAACGTATGCAAACTTGTGTTACGGTCAATCGAATCTCCCCTGACGGTCTTTCCCTTCACGTGGACTTGAACAATGGCCCCCTTTTTTCTGCAAGAATTTTGCCTGCTCCCCATGCATGCATTGGTCATTCGCAAGACCTCAGCCAATGCGTCCACAACGCCGGTCAAATATTTAAAGGTCTCTATCGAAAGGCAGTAATACATATATCTGCGTTTTAAAAGTAACTATAACCAAAAACTACAAAAATAAACCCCACCCACCTCCCCACAGCGAAGGACTGGCCGCTGTGGCATCCGCATGTAAATATACTGATACGTTAAGTTCGTTCATATGTCATCTCTAGATAGTCTATCGATATTCTTCTTGTAACTTGTAATGAATTGCAGTGATTAAACAATGGCAGGAAGTGCTGTCCTTCTGGACAACACCTCACCACGTGAAGTGCATTTGTACAGGTCATTTTGGTCGAAAACGCGACCTGATGACCTGACCTAGAGACTCGATGGGTCAGTCAGACAATATTTGAGTCGAGCTGACTGACCTGAACAGGGGTCCGCCTGTTCCCCTGTTATCTAGAGGTCCGCCTGTTCCTCTAGAAAAACCTATAGTTTTTGCATGCTCTGTTGGGTTTTGAGTGCCCTTACTGTCTCAGTATAACTAATGGTGGTCCCTAGATCATCAGGTCTCAACTCACTGAACAACATGCACAGAGCTGGCTCACACCATCTGCAACTTAGAGGTCCTCCTGTTCCTCTAGGAAAAACTTAGGTTAATTAGAGCCTCTAGACCTTTTTCCGAGCGCTTCCTGCCCAAATTATATGCCACAAAAATGTCTCACTGTGTTGTTCCTTTGCTAAGTTGCCAGACGTTCAAAATCCTTATAAAGAATCTCAACATATAAACTACATTAAATACAAAATGTCACGCAGGTTTTAATACAAAATGTCGTACAGGTTTTAATACAAAATGTCATCCACGTTTTAATATAAAATGTCATGCATGTTTTATTACAAAATGTCATGCATGTTTTATTACAAAATGTCATGCAGGTTTTAATACAAAATGTCATGCACGTTTTAATACAAAATGTTATGCGCGTTTTAATACAAAATGTCATGCAAGTTTCAATACAAAATGTCATGCACGTTTTGGTACAAAATGTCATGCACGTTTTAATACAAAATGTCATGCACGTTTTAATACAAAATGTCATGCACGTTTTAATACAAAATGTCATGCACGTTTTAATACAAAATGTCATGCACGTTTTAATACAAAATGTCATGCACGTTTTAATACAAAATGTCATGCAGGTTTTAATACAAATGTCATCCACGTTTTAATACAAAATGTACTGCACGTTTTAATACAAAATGTCATGCACGTTTTAATACAAAATGTCATGCACGTTTAAATACAAAATTTCATGCACGTTTTAGTACAAAATGTCACGCAGGTTTTATAAAAAATGTCGTGCAGGTTTTAATACAAAATGTCATCCACGTTTTAATTTAAAATGTCATGCAAGTTTTATTACAAAATTTCATGCACGTTTTAATACAAAATCTCATGCAGGTTTTAATACAAAATGTCATGCACGTTTTAATACAAAATGTTACGCGCGTTTTAATACAAAATGTCATGCAAGTTTCAATACAAAATGTCATGCACGTTTTTGTACAAAATGTCATGCACGTTTTGGTACAAAATGTCATGCACGTTTTGGTACAAAATTTCATGCACGTTTTAATACAAAATGTCATGCACGTTTTGGTAGAAAATGTCATGCACGTTTTAATACAAAATGTCATGCACGTTTTAATACAAAATGTCATGCACGTTTTAATACAAAATGTCATGCATGTTTTAATACAAAATGTCATGCACGTTTTAATACAAAATGTCATGCTTGTTTTAATACAAAATGTCATGCAGGTTTTAATACAAAATGTGATGCACGTTTTAATACAAAATGTCATGCACGTTTAATACAAAATGTCATGCACGTTTTGGTACAAAATGTCATGCACGTTTTAATACAAAATGTCATGCACGTTTTAATACAAAATGTCATGCACGTTTTAATACAAAATGTCATGCACGTTTTAATACAAAATGTCATGCACGTTTTAGTACAAAATGTCATGCACGTTTTAATACAAAATGTCATGCACGTTTTAATACAAAATGTCATGCACGTTTTAATACAAAATGTCATGCACGTTTTAATACAAAATGTCATGCACGTTTTGGTACAAAATGTCATGCACGTTTTAATACAAAATGTCATGCACGTTTTGGTACAAAATGTCATGCACGTTTTAATACAAATTGTCATGCACGTTTTAATACAAAATGTGATGCACGTTTTAATACAAAATGTGATGCACGTTTTGGTACAAAATGTTATGCACGTTTTAATACAAAATGTCATGCACGTTTTAATATAAAATGTCATGCACGTTTTGGTACAAAATGTCATGCACGTTTTGGTACAAAATGTCATGCACGTTTTAATACAAAATGTCATGCACGTTTTAATACAAAATGTCATGCACGTTTTAATACAAAATGTCATGCACGTTTTAATACAAAATTTCATGCACGTTTTAATACAAAATGTCATGCACGTTTTAATACAAAATGTCATGCACGTTTTTGTACAAGAAAGCAAGAACACTGGACTATCATCTCCTTCTAGAAATACATGTGTCATGTTTTTATGTTTTAAGCGCTCTCTGAGCGATATTTTTGTCCGGACTATATAGTCGTAAAAATGGAGAAAACACAAGTGATTAGGGCCCCAAAATCACTTGTATTCACTCAGCATGCGTTTGATACGACCAGACTTCATGCAAAAATCATGCAGAGGCGAAAAACTTGAAAATGAAGGAGGTAAACAGAAGAGTGTTCAGTTTATATCTTAGTCAAGAAAGCCAAATTCCATGCAATTTTTACTCATGCATATTGTCGAAATCGAGTTTTGTATTTGCGTGCATTAATGTCCCAAGGCATGTCCGACATCTCTTTACGATTCTTTCGTTCTACAAAAACAGAACTTCGGTAAAACGAAAGGACAGGGAAGTCTAGCATAGTACAATCATATACCAATACAAATAATTATATAGGCATTGAGTTTTAATCCGTCTTTCCCTTTCAAAACGAGCATTCCCTTTACTTTACTTTTAACCCTGTCCGAAAAACGAATAGGCCAGCCTGGAAAGTTAGTTTCAGTCATAAAGTTCGAATTCATTTCTATATATCAAAACTATTCTAGTTTCGTCCACCCCGACTATCCGTAAACAAAGTACAAACGTGTTTTTTCAAGTCACAAATGCAAAATACACATATACTAATAGAACAATACCTATTATTCGCTGCGAGCAAGCCTTTACGTTTCTCCTTTCCCATCTTTCGGCGCCGTAGTTCGTTCTGAAACCAAATAAGCAAAGAAAAACTAAATTAAAGTAACAGCTCACTTGCATTGGACATTTTCAATCGAAATATACAAGATAAAGCAGTAAAAATCGGCAAGAATATGACTCCATTCGCTCACGTCTTCCCACGCTATTCAAATCAACACAGCGATCAGTAAATTTGTTTGCAAAGCCAAAGATCAAGCCAAAAGATGTTCAAACCAACTATCACCATGTACCTTAGTAAGCAAGACTCTTCCAACTTTTCCTGAACTTCTTCGACTGATGCTTCCTTTTCGAGACTGCAAACACTGAGTTTCGTCTAGATTCAACCGCCTTTTATTACTTCAACGACAAAGAAAATTCCAACGGACAATTTTAGCATTGAGAACAATAGATAATCAACTAACTCATGCCAGACTTGTCCGAAATGGATATAAATTAGCCAATCCGCTCCGTGAAGCGATTAATGGATATAACTCTTAGTTTGATTCAAAAGCCTTCTCTTTTCGCGTTAATCTTTTCAAACTAAAACTACAGGATGTCTCAAAAAAAAACGCAACCACTTATTTTCTAAAATTCATATTGTTCATAAGCTCAATAGATTTTACGCCCCTGGGATTTTAAAATGGCTTCTAATCGTACAGTTCAACTGCTAATAGTCATATCAGCTAAACTAATAATGGTGCAGCTAACAACCGAACGAGTTTTTATTGTCGTGCATGATAACTTGAATGCTAACTGTCGACCTTGTCAAATAAATTGTAAATAACATTTTACTCGTTAAATACTTTCAATTCAGCTCGTTGGTTTACGCACCCGACTTTGTTTACCGACGATTGTGCCGCTAGAATATGATTGCGTTTTTTTTTATAAACCCTGTATAACAACTTTTTTCTCGGTACCTTCTTTAACGCTATCTTAACGTAAAAAATGATCATCATTGGCCATTGCAGGCAGAATCAGAGCTCGAAACTTTTCATAACCTTGTACGCAGAGTATTTCATATTGAAAACAAATAATACAACAATTATGTCAATAAAGCTGGAGATAAATGTAAGAGTAAAGACACACATATTACAGACACATTCCAGTTCGCCCAATGCAAGCACACTTTACCAAATTATGCTAAGAAACCGGCAAATAAAGACAGACAACACAAAATTGAAAAATACGACGATTGAAAAAAAATTATCCTAACTGCATCATAGTCATCATAGTATTTTTATGTATATAAATATTACAAAGTGAAAAAAATAAACGTATAGATTAAAAATGACTATCTACGAATTTGATCTAGTGTTGGAAAACGTTATCTATAGTGACCATTAAGTGTTGGAGCAGTTCACCAGCAGTGCATGCTCATAGGTGCAATGAGAAAAGATTGAAGTTCAATAATATTGCGAGATCATTGTAAAAACATGCTCCAAAACTGTCGAACAGTGTTCTATTGTGGAAATTGATTTGCGAAGATATTATGTGAGGCTCTTTTCAGTCTATCTCCTCCAAATTAGATTTAGGAAAGAAATGAAGTTCTATTTTGGTGAGATCTCAAAAAAAATCCTAGGTGAAGTGATTTCATTCAAAAGTCGGTTGTTTATAAGCGTCTGATTTGCCGCCACATTTCTGCCAACTAAATTCAAATTCACGTTTTGTTATTTCAGCGCCCCGTTTGCGAGTCAGACCTGTTTCATCCAGACTCAGCTCACACATATCAAGATCATCTGTGCCCGCGACCAGGACAACGTTCACTCCGTTCGGGTGTATCTCCAGCTGGCGGGCTATCCATTGCCCGTCAAAATGGGCGAACCAGTACCCGCGCTTCTTGAAGTCGTTGTCACGATACTCGTCACCGGGCTTCACAAAGGGAACGCGGAAATATCGCTGTGGTCGACGCGGGGGAAGTCTGGAAGTTGGCTTACTAACGCTTGCGTGACTTGCAGCTAAAACGAGAAATTAAACGTTTGAGAACTGATACAGAGCTATATCCAGTATGAAAAAAGTTAATTTAGTTAGAGATGATCCTTACTGGACCTCTAGGAAGAACAGTTTAGAACTGATAGAGCTATCCAGTATAAATAAAGTTAGTTTAGTTTAGGTTTCCTCCTGTAGTAACACTGGATCAATAAGAGATGATCCTTACTGGAACTCTAGGAGGAACAGTTTAGAACTGATTGGGCTATCCAGTATAAATAAGTTAGTTTAGTTTAGGTTTCCTCCTGTAGTAACAAGAGTTCAGAACTGATAAATGAACTTGTTAAAATATAAGCATGTAATGTTGTATTAACTATTTCCCAACCTTCTTCCACGACCTCTTGAGGTGCTCTTTGATCACCAGCACTTTGACCCGTCGACTTCGATCCTTATTTTTATTTTTCCACTGATGATAAACCTTAAGACGGCGATGGAACTCTTGTTTACAAGCTTCTAATAACTCGACATCTAGAAAAACAAAAACAGAAGTCCATATTTTGTATTCAAAACTAAACTTTCCACAGGAACCAAGTAATGACAACAACACATACCGCACGAGGTGTTGATGGTGTCTCTTAACTCAGCGTATTTCCATTTACTCAGGTCATATTTCTTATTCGGATCTTTCAAGGAAGCCGCTCTGTTGGAAAAAAAGTTCATTTTTTAGTATCTTGTTTGTGATAGCTGATCAGAATAAAGTATGTTTAGGTTTTCTCCTGCATGTAGTAACGCTGGATCAATAAGAGATGATCCTTACTGGACCTCTAGGAAGAACAGTTTAGAACTGATAGAGCTACTCAGTATAAATAAATAAAGTTAGTTTAGTTTAGGTTTCCTCCTGTAGTAACACTGGATCAATAAAAAGAGATGATCCTTACTGGACCTCAAGGAAGAACAGTTTAGAACTGATAGAGCTATCCAGTACAAATAAATAAAGTTAGTTTAATTTAGGTTTCCTCTTGTAGTAACACTGGATCAAAAGGGGATGATCCTTACTGGACCTCTAGGAAGAACAGTTTAGAACTGATAAAGCTATACAATATTATAAAATATTTACCTTATAATAGCTTTTTGTTCCTCCATGGGTTCTACATTCGAGTTGGATTCCTAAAATGAGAACAAATTAGTATAGGCCTAATTCTGTCTAGCAGAAAATGAACATAAACTTCCACACAGTTGAACAGTTAAACGGAAGCATTTAGTAGTATTAATCGCCAAAGAAATTGAAAAAATATTGAGATATAATACCTTTGCCAAACGCAAGGCCAGTTCGTGATCTAATCTCTCTTGTTCAAGAGCAGCTTGTCTGAAATGATTAAATTTTACATTGAAAAAAATATCAGATTTAAAGCATTACGTGTGAGTCTATAAAAAGGACTCGGGAATTTTTTTGGAAAACCTCGCAGAGATGTTTATGGTAGCAAAAATACGTTCATACCGAGATTTTGCCTCTTCTTCCTCTTTCCTTAATTGTTCCTCGATTTCTTTCTAAAAAACCCAGAAAAGATTCACGGTAAAAATATTGCCAGAGGTGATCAAGTATGGTACGACATTAATACATAAAAAGCTTTGAAAATAATTACATTTATTCATTGTAATTATGCTCAAAACCTGTTTCGCTTTTTCAAGTTCCCTCCGTTTCATTTCTTCCTCTTCTGCCCTTCGCCTTTCGGCTTCCATTTCAGCTTTACTAAAACACACAGAAAAAAAATGTAAACATTTAAATATCGTACACAGCCAGCGTTCATATTTCAGCCAATCAGTGCTCAGCAGGGTTTTCAAAATAGAAACCATTCTGCAGTATTTAATCCATCATATCTTTTGTTGTTCTTTATGAAAATAGCCGAAATTTCGCGAAAATGTTTAGTTATAAGAACTGCAATAAATGTGACCTATAATTCAAGTGATATTAATGTTGTTTTAACCCAGAATTTGATTTTTGTTTAGTTTGACAAATAGTCAAAATCTATTTCCGCCATTTTGCATCATCTGGTGTGAGTTTAGCAGGAAAAAGGATATGATATCGTTGAATGCCAAACTTAATCATTTTAAACTTACATTCTTGCTTCTTCTTCAAGTTGTTTTCTTCTCCTTTCCTCTTCTTCTCGCCTTTTTCTTTTCAGTTCCATCTGTTCTTTGATTTTTCTCAACTTCTCTTCTCCTCTCTTCTTCTGAAGTTCGTTCTGATCCTGCGACATTCGTTCATCATCTCATCCTGCGACATTCGTTCATCATCCAATTCTTCGATACTCGTTCGTCATCTCATACTGCGACATTCGTTAATCATCTCATCCTGCGACATTCGTTCATCATCTCATCCTGAGACATTCGTTCATCATCCCATACTGCAACACTCGTTCATCATCTCATCCTGAAACATTCGTTCATCATGTCACCCTGCGACATTCGTTCATCATCTCATCCTGCGACATTCGTTCATCATCTCATCCTGAGACATTCGTTCATCACTTCAACCTGCGACATTCGTTCATCATCCCATTCTGCGGTATTTGATCGTCATCTCATACTGCGATATTCGTTCGTCATCTCATACTGCAATATTCGTTCGTCATCTCATACTGCGATTTTTGTTCGTCATCTCATACTGCAACATTCGTTCATCATCTCATCCTGCAACATTCATTCATCATCTCATCATGCGACATTCGTTCATCATCCCATCCTGAGACATTCGTTCTTTATCTTATCCTGAGACATTCGTTCATCATCCCATCCTGAGACACTCGTTCATTATCTCACCCTGAGACATTCGTTCATCATCACATCTTGAGACATTCGTTCATCATCTCAGCCTGAGACATTCGTTCATCATCTCATCCTGCGACATTCGTTCATTACCTCATTCTGAGACATTCGTTCATCATCTCATACTGCAACATTCGTTCATCATCTCATCCTTAGACGTTCGTTCATCATCTCATCCTTAGACGTTCGTTCATCATCTCATACTGTGACATTCGTTCATCATCTCCTCCTGAGACATTCGTTCATCATCCCATATTGCGACATTCGTTCATCATCTCATCCTGAGACATTCGTTCATCATCCCATCCTGAGACACTCGTTCATTATCTCACCCTGAGACATTCGTTCATCATCACATCTTGAGACATTCATTCATCACCTCATTCTGAGACATTCGTTCATCATCTCATACTGCGACATTCGTTCATCATCTCATCTTGAGACATTGGTTCATCATCTCATCCAGCGACATTCGTTCATAGTCTCATCCTGAGACATTCGTTCATCATCTCATACTGCGACATTCGTTCATCATCTCATTCTGAGACATTCGTTCATCATCTCATCCTGCGACATTTGTTCATAGCCTGATCCTGCGACATTCGTTCATTATCTCATCCTGTGACATTCGTTCGTCATCCCATCCAGAGACATTCGTTCATCATCTCATCCTGAGACATTCGTTCATCATCTCATACTGCGACATTTGTTCATCATCTTATCCTGGGACATTCGTTCAGTATCTCATCCTGAGACATTCGTTCATCATCTCATACTGCGACGTTCGTTCATCATCTCATCCTGAGACATTCGTTCATCATCTTATCCTGAGACATTCGTTCATCATCCCATATTGCGACATTCGTTCATAATCTCATCTTGAGACATTCGTTCATCATCTCATCCTGCAACATTCGTTCATCATCTCATCCTGCGACATTCGTTCATCATCTAATCCTGAGACATTCGTTCATCATCTCATCCTGCGACATTCGTTCATCATCTGATCCTGAGACATTCGTTCATCATCTCATCCAGCGACATTCGTTCATCATCCTATTTTGCGTTATTCGTTCGTCATCTCATACTGCTATATTCGTTCGTCATCTCATACTGCGATATTCGTTCGTCATCTCATACTGCGATATTTGTTCGTCATCTCAAACTTCGATATTTGTTCGTCATCCCATTCTGCGACATTCGTTCATCATCTCATCCTGAGATATTCGTTCAACATCCCATCTTAAGACATTCGTTCATCAACTCATCCTGAGACATTCGTTGATCATCCCATCCAGAGACATTCGTTCATCATCTTATCCTGAGTCATTCGTTCATCATCCCATACTGCGACATTTTTTCATCATCTCACCTGCGACATTCGTTCATTATCTCATCCTGAGACATTCGTTCATCATCTCATACTGCGACGCTCGTTCATCATCTCATCCTGAGACATTGGTTCATCATCCGAGTATTTTGCCCCTTTTTGCAGAGGAAAGGTTATTGTCTGAAGGATGTCAGATGTGATTTTTTCCACCCTGTCCCTAATAACAAGTCCCTCACTACATTGGATGATCCTTTTTTCTATCGACGAACCTATCCACCCTACCAAGCCAAAATATACCCGTTTGGGTTACCCAACGCACAAAATCCACCCCTAAACATATGGAAGCCACTAAACGTCCCAAAAAAACCAACTTGATCAGAATTCCTTGCCTACCAATGAATCCCACTCCCAGACAAGTCGGTAATTCCATCGATTCGACAAACCAAAACAACACCCACTATGTCCCTGCTTTTCTCTTATCTAATGTAATGTCATTAGCCCCAAAAATTGATGAAGTACAAGATGTTGTCCGACGCGGAAACTACCAATTCATTAGCATAGTGGAGACTTGGCTACAGAGTCATATACACGACAATGTAGTCAATATCGAAGGATATAACCTCATCCGCAGAGACAGAATTAACGGCCAACACGGAGGCGTTTGTACTTATATTGAAAATACGATCGGTTTTGAGTTAATAGAAAACTTAACTAATGACTTGTTTGAGGTGTTATGGATCAAAATGCTGATGCCCAGACTGCCGAGAAGATTTAATAGCTTGGTCGTCGGGACCTTATACCACCCCAAGTGCTGACGACTCAGCAATGCTGGATTATTTATCCAACTGTCTCTCTACATTGGAATCATGCTATCCTAATTGTGGTTTTATTATTCTGGGCGACTTTAATCAGTTAAATATCAACCGATTAAAACTAAGCTATAACCTACGTCAACTTGTTAACTTTCCAACACGTGGCAGAAATACTCTTGATCTCGTCTTGACAAATCTTTACGAATACTACGATCAACCGGTAAAGTATGCACCATTCGGTCTCTCTGATCATATGTCTGTAGAATTTAAACCAAAAGAACGATGTCAACCCAAAGAGCGCAGAAAAGAGTGGTGAAGAAAAGAGATCTACGTCCGAGCTCCCGTCTTGCATTCCGTAAATATTTGGAACTGTTGGACATTCCCAGCATGTTTGACAAAGCCCCTTCTTGCACAGAAAAAATCTCCCTCTTGGAAACCATTGTAACTACTGGTCTGGATTATATTCTCCCACTGCGCTCAACTATCTCGGTTAATGAACCTCCCTGGATGAACTCAAAATTATCATTATTAATTAAGAAACGCCAGAAAGCTCTTAACCAAGGAAATATTACCCAATTCAAGTACTTGAGAAATAAAGTAAACCGCAAAAGGAAAAGTTGTCGTGCGAAGCATTATGAAAATAGCATTCAACATCTTAAAGAATGTAAACCATCCTCTTGGTGGAATGAGGTTAAGAAGCTCAGTGGAGCAAAATCTACTAGCGGAAATAACGAAGAAATCCTTAAAGCCTTAAGACCTGATGAACACCTTACGGAAACAGATAAAGTAGATATTGCAAACGAGATAAATGATTCTTTTCTTTCCCCAATGGCTGAATTTACTCCTCTCACTCCAGAGAATTACCAAGATCTGTTATTTGGCGCAGCTAATGATTCTACTGTCACAATTGCTGCAGGAGACGTATTTAAAAAACTGTCAACGCTTAATCCAAGGAAAGCCCACGGCCCTGATGGAATACCAACATGGGTGTTAAAAGAGAATGCTGATTTATTGGAACTTCCAGTCAAAGAGATCCTAGATAGTTCTTACCGCGAATGCCGTATTCCACAATCTTGGAAAGAGGCCGACATTATTGCTATCCCTAAAAAGAAACCCATAACTGACATTAATAACAACCTACGTCCAATCATTAACACCTATTTTATCAAAACTGGCCGAAGAATTCGTGGTTGAACAACACCTAAAACCTGCGGTATTAGCCACAATTGATAAAAGGCAATTCGGATCCATCCCGAATTCAAGCACTACGTATGCCCTTATCAGCATGTTGCATTTTTGGAATAAAAACACGGACGGAAATGGCTCTACAATCAGAATTATGCTTTTTGACTTTCGTAAAGCTTTCGACATGATAGATCATCATATCCTCGCACGAAAACTGTTAAAATACAACATCCCAAAACCTATATTGCATTGGATCTTAGACTTCCTCACTGATCGCAGTCAGAGAGTTAAACTTAGCGATGACTGTTTTTCCGAGTGGAAGGCTGTGCCAGCGGGTGTCCCCCAGGGGACAAAATTAGGCCCTTGGCTTTTCTTAATCATGATGGATGACCTTGATGTTGCTGATAACAAGAACCTTTGGAAATACGTAGACGATTCAACTATGTCTGAAGTCATAAATAAAGATCAACCTAGTATAATGCAAGCGTATGTCAACGAATTCTCTTCAAAATCCAGAAGTGATGGTATGCAGTTAAAAGAGTCCAAATGCAAGGAACTTCGAATAAGTTTCTCAACTGTAAAGAGAGAGTTTGATCCTATTATTATCAACGACAAAAACATCGAAGTAGTCCAGTGTGAAAAACTACTCGGTTTAACCATCTCCGACAACCTCAAATGGAATAAACATATTGAGACTGTATGCAAGAAGATTTCAACTCGTCTATACTTCTTGCGACAATTGAAACGGGCAAAGTTACCATCCAAGGATCTTCTCTTGTTCTATGTTACTTGTATTCGGCCGGTTGCTGAATACGCGTGCGAAGTATTCCACGATTCCCTTACAAAATACCTGTCAGACGATCTCGAAAGATTACAACGCCGAGCTTGCAGAATAATCCTCCCCGAACATTCGTACGAGGATGCACTTAATCAACTAGGTCTCTTGTCACTGTTCGATCCAAGACAAAATTTGACCGATAAACTTTTTCGGCAAATTGTTAATGATCCGCAAGACAAATTACACCATTTATTACCAGCATTAAATTTATCTGAGGCATCTCTGAGAGAAAGAAGAATATTTCAAGTTCCAAACTGTAGAACAATT